TTGGTCTCCTAGAGTTGATTTTTATTTTTCATTCTTTATTTTATGGTGCATTCTGTTACTCAGTCTATAGGTGATCTCAAAGGAGTATTTCAGTTTAAGGTTTGGAGTGTGGTAGTTGATATTTTGTGCCAACTGGGCTGGGTCAGGATTCTCAGTAGTTTAGCCTAACACAGTGTAATAACGGCCAGTCAGTTGATAGAAGATTGGGGCAGGAGATAAAACCCTTACTCAGATGCAGTCGATTGAATGGAATGTTTCTTTGGGTATGTGGCCTGCTTCCAATATAAGTGGATACTGTGGAAAAGTTTGCTTGCTTTTTGTTGGGTCTCGATCCTGTGTCTGGTGCGTTGACCTTCTGTTCTTTGTACTTGAGGCAATGGCCTGCTATACCACCTGCCAATCCCGGGGATCATCGTCAGCTTGCTATCTCACCTGCTGACCTTGGATGCACTCAACTCTGTAGCAGTCACCAGTCTGGGGTCCTCCTGCAAATGTTGAGTTCATCAACCTGCTGGGACGTGAACTTAACGGCTTCTACAAAGTGTGGGTCATTTTCTGGACATAAATCAATCCTCTCTCTCTCTCTAGTTTTGCTTCTCTAGTGAACCCAAATGAAGACAGTATGTATTTCAGAGCAATAGTCTCAGGGAAATCTAGTCTTAATCTAGTCCAGTAAACCTGGACATTTTAAGAATTTGAATTCTGTGTACATTTTTTTTCCACCATTCCAATGTGCTCCTGATCAGAAAGGTCATAGTGGTAGGTAGCCAGGCAACCATCTAGTTCTTCTGGTTCCAGGATCGACTACTGATTGCATTTCAGCTTTGGAACAAGTGAGTGAAGGATTATCAAGTTGATTACCTGAAATCCTTATTCATAAATAAAGACCCATAAAAGAGATGGCATTTTAAAAGACTATCTACATGCATGGAAGTCAGAGTTGTGGTCGCGGAGCCCATTGGGTTAGGTACTGCATTTGCTGGGTCAGATGTGAATATCACACAAGAAATTTATAAACCTGAGAGGCATATAAGAAATCCACTTTCCCAAGGATTGTGGAAGTGTTGTTTTTTTGGTAAGTTTTCAAGAGTGAATGAAGGCTCTTAAGGTGGAGAGATCAGGTATACCATTAGCCAATCACTGGGCCTAGTTGAGCTCAGTAATGCTAGCAAACCTGAGGGGTGACATAGAGTGATACAGCTTTTATAGAAAACCGTTTTTGCATAGTCTTCCTTTGTCTCTCAGAAAATACAAGAAGGCTGGGAGGAATATATCTTTATTAGATTGTGAGTTGTCAGATACTTGAACTGACTTATTTAGGACCCCTTTAAACACCATCTCAGTAAATTCTGATAGCACACTCGTTAGATCCAACCTAAACTAGGTGGGTCAGAGGATAGCATTTACTAGCTGTGTGTCTAGGTTTGCTAACTCCAAAGTCAGAAGTTCAAATCCACCAACCACTCCATGGGAGAGCGCGGAGGCTGTCTATTCTTATAATCTTAGAAACCCTACGTAGCAGTTCTACACTGCTCCGTGGGAGTGGGAATCAAGTTGGCAGCAATGGCTTCTTATCACAGTCCAGCGTAGTGATGCTAACTCATTTAAACCTTACTCTATCCCAGTGTAACTTCCTGGCTTAGTGAGTTCCTCAAGGTGAGTGGTTCAAACCCACAGGCTGCTCTGAGTTAGAAAAATGAGTCTGTCTGCTTTCATAAAGATTTACAGTCTGAACCCCTAAAGTGCAGTTCTGTGTCTTACAGAGTCACCCTGAGTTGGAAATGGGTGTAGTTGTGATTTTATGTCCTATGTGGGAGTCTCTGGGTGGTGCAAAGGGTGAGGCAGTCCAATACTATCTGAAAGGTTGGTGGTTCAAACCCACCCAGATGTACCTTCAAAGATAAGCCTGGTGACCAGCCTTGGAAAAGTCACAGCCTGGAAAACTCCACGAATCAGTCTATGCTGATCAGTCTATGGTGACTCTATGCTGACTCAGTCTATGCTGATCAGTCTATGGTGACTCTATGCTGACTCAGTCTATGCTGAT